CTTATCTGAGCTAAATTGTGCCACCCAGAAGTACTGTCTCCAGGGTTCCGGATGTTTTGCTACCTTTGTTCTTTGTCTTCATTTGAGTTGCAAACACAGAAGAGAGATGGATTCACAATATCTTCAGAGAGATTTGGAGTTGAAGCAAAGTCATCAGCCAGAAGAAACCATTTAAAGCTCAGAATTATAAGAAACGCAAAAAGTTATGTGTATGTAAACAGAGCAAGATTAACAGTAGACTCCAGAAACAGTTTATTTCTAAGGTGGCTCTTAACTATAAAGTGGCTTCAATGACCTTCTTATAACCCTGGGCAAGAGTCCTCTTTGGTTTGATGGAAAATATCAACATGTAAGGGACATAAGGAGTTGAATTTTAAGTGTGAGTTGAATTTTGTTGTTTAATATCCAGATTATGAATATTTAAAGAAATAAAATCATTTTAGTTGGGAGGCCATCCTGCTTAGGAAACAGTTTTACAGGTGTCTGTCACTTGATTTTGTAAAGCAGTTGCCCCGCCTGGAAGGATTTCACTAAAATTCATATTCAGTCAATCAGGCCAAATGTCAGGTTGCAAGGTAAACGACCTGTAGGCCATCTAAACATTTGGAAATWACTTTTTTTCTTTCTTTTAAAAATTTCTTTTGTTGGTCCTAAGTAGTTGTGTATGTGGCAAAAGTCAAGGTTCCCTTATTCCTCATTAGATTTACCCAGCCTGCGACTTGAAGCAAAGCACATCTAATTTAAATCAGCTCTGGCCTGGGGAGAGTTCCCCCACATTCATCAGGAGCCACTTCAAAAGCCAAATACAGCCCAACACAGTGATGGACACATGCCTGTACTCCCCAGCTATTTGAGAGGCTGAGGCAGGAGGATAGCTTGAGTGAGCCCAGGAGTTCAGGGCCAGCCTGCCCAATAATGAGACCCTGTCTCAAAAATAAATAAATAAATAAAAATAGGAAAAGGAAAACCAAATGGATGTTGAGGTTTTCCTGTGTTTGGGGCCTGGACTCCATTGGATCTTAGAATCTAGGTAAGTCCAAGATTATTAGGGGGGTCGCTGATAGGCATTGATCAGGGTAGATAAAAAGGAATTAGTAATATGGATGGTTATTCTAAAGGGCTGTCTTTTRGAATTCACAGAGGAAGTTTCAGGCAGGATTTGTCCTTGGCTTTATTCCATCAAACACCAGATTTCTGACTCTGCTTTCAGTTTCCTTTCCCTAGAAGGAAGGCTTAGGGGAGGTCGTTATATTAGGATCTTCAATTCTAATTCCTTTCCAGTTCTGTTCCTTTCCAGAGAGAAAAGCTCTTCAGTCCAACAGCTTCCTTCCTCATTTGGTTCTGCTGATTTCCTTGCTAATGTAAGAGCTGCCGCCTGCTGGGCCTTCTCTCAGCAGGAGCCTCTCTTTCAGGCTATTACCTTCATTAATGCATTCAGTCCTCTCAGTAATCCTGTGGGGCGGAGCCTGTCCTCATCTGCACTCCACAGGTGTGGAGAACGGAAGCAAAGTCATCAGGCTGCCAGTAAATTGTGGAGCAGTGTGACCCAAGGAGTAGCTTCAGAATTGGAATCTGTAATTTCCTCCTCAGGTTTAAGAAATCAGCTTTTTGCCTGGCTCTTATTTTGTTTTGGGTTTTGTTTGTGCAAAACTGGGGATTGAACACAGTGGTGCTCTTCACTTCGAGACAGCATTTCCCTAAATCGTCAGGCTGACCTCAAATTTGTGATACCAGCCTCCTGAATAGCTGGGATTACAAACGTGCACTATGCCTGGCTTTTATCTAGTTATCCAATCTAACATTGTGACTTTTTTTCCTCTCATGGCAAAACTCTTCCCACCTCTCTACCTCCTGTACTCCCATACCGGTCTCCTCCTCCCTCTTGCTTCCCTCTTTGAAGCAGCACTGCCCAGGTAAGAAGTGCATATTAGCGGCCGGCCCCTGAAATCTCAAAGTGGATCTGTTCTCTTGAGAATGTTCTTAACACTCTCAGGAAAAGGTATAATAGTTTAGAATTCCAGCATATGAAAGTCTCCTTTTTTTCTTTCCTTCTTCTGGGCATCTCCTGCGGAGCCTATTATGCATCCTACTCTCTGCTCCTCCAGTTCACTGGGCCCTGCTACTTTTGAGAGCTACTATAAACCCCTGGACTAGCTCATCACTGCACATCCAATTTTGTTTTTTTAGTTCCTTATGTGGCTAAGCAGCTTGATAGCAGGTGACATCTGTCTCATTCTTTAACTCCCCTGTACCTAACACAGTGTCTGGCATGTAATGTATGTTCACCAARGGGCTTGCTAAAAGAAGAAGTGATATGATCTTTCTCCTTAAAGACCTGGTTTTGTTAGGTACAATGGCATGTGCCTGTAATCCTAGTGACTCTGGAGTCTGAGACAAAAGGATCTTGAGTTCAAAGCCAGCCACAGCATCTTAGCAAGGCCCTAAGCAACTCAGTGACACCCTGTCTCTAAATAAATATAAAAAGGGCTGGAGATGTGGCTCAGTGGTTAAGTTCCCTTGGGTTTAATCCTTGGTCCAAAAAAAAAAAAAAAGACCCCGCTCACACTTCATCTCTTCCATGAACTGTCCCCCAGTCTACTCTRCTTGTCATAACTCTGTGCTCCCATGGTAACTGGCACCTCAATTCCAGTACTCAATATAGATTGCCCTGAAGTCATTGTTTGTGTAATAAACTTTCCATCCTCCTAAAAAAGTATTAGAGGAAAATAATTTTGCTCATTTTGTCATCCCTTTGCACTGAGCATCCAAAGTCTTGAAATAACACTTTGAATAAAGCACAATTGCCATCATTTGACAAGAATATCTGCCCAGAGTATCACATTTTAATCTTAAATTGGAAAACATCTAATTTGAAAATTGCAAAATGAGTTTCTTTGGGTATCTGAAATTATTTGTGTGTGATCAAGTTGGGTTTTTTTACTACAGCATTGGATTGGGTGTTTGTACAGTGAATAGTGCAAATGGAGCTGAACTCCAGCTGACTGGATTCAGAGAAGTCTTACTCTCAGAAATTTGTTTTACAGGGCTGGGGATGTGGCTCAAGCGATAGCACGCTCGCCTCAGCACCACATACCAACAAAGATGTTGTGTCCGCCAAATACTAAAAAATAAATATCAAAAAAATTCTCTCTCTCTCTCTCTCTCTCTCTCTCTCTCTCTCTTTAAAAAAAAAAAAGAAATTTGTTTTACAGAACCAGTGGATTGTGAGAGCACTGGACCCTAATCATAAAAATAAAATATTTTCATCAGAGACATTTTNTGGCTCAAGCGATAGCACGCTCGCCTCAGCACCACATACCAACAAAGATGTTGTGTCCGCCAAATACTAAAAAATAAATATAAAAAAAATTCTCTCTCTCTCTCTCTCTCTCTCTCTCTCTCTTTAAAAAAAAAAAAGAAATTTGTTTTACAGAACCAGTGGATTGTGAGAGCACTGGACCCTAATCATAAAAATAAAATATTTTCATCAGAGACATTTTGAAAATATGGAAAAGTGTAAAGAGCTCATGATTCTGCTATCTAGAGGAAACATTTTTGTGTGTTTCCTTTCAGAGTTTTTATCCTGTAAATATATTGGGGTCACACGGGTGCATATATTGCTTTATTTACTTAATATATGAAGAGTACTTTCTCTGATTATTCTTCTTCAATAATCTGATTTATAGGGTAGCGTGCTGGGGATTGAACCCAGGGCCTTGTGCATATATTCTGTCACTGAGCTGCACCCCCCAGCCAATAATCTGATTTTTAAAATTGCAAAAAGTTTAAGAGTATACCATCATTTGTCTCATCCTTTATTGGATATCAGATATTTGTCCTTAATTTTTTTTTTAAATAATATGACCTTCATACACACAGAATACTGAGTCACAGAGGGAAAACATTTTAAAGTCCTTGATATGTATTATTAAATCTCAAAACCTACCACTGGGCCCATTAGATGGTAGATACTCAGAAAGTAATGGTTGAATGAATGAATACCTTCCAGGTTGGCCACTTTATATCCCCACCAGCAGTATGTAAGCAGAGACTTGTTTTGGTCAATCCCATCATGGTAAGCAAGATTTTTATTTCAGTGATTCTGGCAATAATCCATTTGCCTTGAAATAAAGAAATGGAAATAAAAAATTGAGTCCTCCCTAAATGATATGTGGTTTTGCTTTAATAAAGTGCTTTTTTAAAAAAAAATTTAGTTGTTAAAGAACCTTTATTTTATTTATAGGTGGTGCTGAGAATTGAACCCAGTGCCTCACTCATGCTAGGCAAGTGCTCCACCACTGAGCCACAACCCCAGCCCAATAAACTGTTTTTAAAACACATTGGGACAGAATTGGGATGCGGAAATAGTTCTCATTTGGGGCTAAATCATGAAGCCTGATGATTTCTTTTCTCACATATTCCTCTACTGGGTCTTGGTGCCCAAAGCCATCAATTATGGCCATTTGGTTACTTAGGGTTGCCCCACAATATTTTTTTTTTTTTTTAAGTTTGAGATCTGGTGAGGATACAATATGTATAATCAAGGTTCTCCTGTCTGAAGATCCAGGTTCAATGGTCTCTGTAAAACCTGAATCAGACAGAGTTTGTTTTATAGTTTCTGGATTTCCAGGGTTCAGACAGGGTTCACTTGAAGGCTCTAGGTCCTGTGGTTCWTGTGTATGGTAGTTTGGCAGAGGCCCAGTTGTAAGGGTCTCAAGTCTGAGAGCCCCAGCTTCTGAGGGTCTCATCTGGAAAAGCCCAATTCTGCGAGGCTTGGTTTGGATGTCTCTGGGCCTGAAGTGTCCTGAATTCTAGGGCTCAGGATAGAGTATCTTTGCATCTGAGGATCCATGGTGGTGTTAGCTTCGGATACTGTGTTCCCGGGTCTGTCCTGCAGCTACGTATAGCTGGGAGACCCAACCCCAGGGCAACGACAGAGGTCGTCAGGGGGTGGACAGCGGTTGTCAGGTGAAAGAGAGCCTAAGTCCTGCGCCGCGCAGCACAGAGTGCAGGCCGGCGGCCAATGGAGGATCGGCGCTAGGACCCCGAGGCTGGCGGCGGCGCGTAGGGTGGCCGGGGACGACAGCGACGGCGCCGGGACGGGTCGGCGCTAGGACCCGCGGGCGCGGCGGGAGGCGGCGGCGCGTGGGGCGGCGCGTGGGGCGGCGCGTGTTGACAGCAGCGGCGCTGCAGCGGGCCGGGCGGCGGGAGTGGCGCTTCTGGTTCCAGCCCCGCGACCCGAGGCGGCGGCGGCGGCCCGGCGGCGCGGGATGGCTTTCATGGAGAAGCCGCCGGCCGGCAAGGTGCTGCTGGACGACACGGTGCCGCTGACAGCAGCCATCGAGGCGAGCCAGAGCCTGCAGTCCCACACGGTGCGCGGCCGSCGGGCGGGCGGGCGGCCCCGGGCCCGGGAGGGAGCCGGCGGGCGGCGGGCGGCCCTGGCCCGGAGGGCTCGGGCGTGGCGGCGGGTCTGCAGGGCCCCCGGGGCCCAGGCGGACGCGGAGGCCGGAGCGGCCGAGGGCGGGGACCGCGGCGCCCGGGCCGAGGGGTGGGAGGAGCCCGGCGGCGTCCGGGGAGGACTCAGAGCCGGCGAGGTGGTGGGACCCCGGTCCCGGGACGCCTCCCGGGGCAATAGTGAAGGGACCGTACGGCCCCTCTCAGCCCGCAGCCAGCCTTCTCGTCGGGGCCACTGGGTTTCCTCCTTCCAGCCGGGGGTCTGGGTGGTGGGGATGAGGGTATGCCGGGCCCAATGGAAGTGTGACTTCAGGGGACCGAAGCCTACTTAGTGGACTGCAGAGAGATAATGGCTGGGGTCCTCAGCCCCAGGTCCAGGTCAGCTGCTTGGCCTTGGCCAGGGAAACGGTGAGGGAAGCAGTCAGGGGTCCTGCGGAGGCAGGTGTAGGAAAGTGCTCCTTCCCTACTCGGACCTGCTGGGCAGTGGGCAATGGTAGAATTCATTTGCATTTAAGATGCTCTGGAGTTGCACGAAAGAGTAAGATCCTCGTAGTAAACCCAGGCACTGTTCATTTCTGTTACATATACTGTCTTTTATGGGGCTTTAAAGCCATGGTTGTTTTCATTTGCCTGTGCCTTTTTTTTTTTTAAGTCATACTATGCATTATGATTTACAAGCAATAAACCCAGGTACCAGCAAAAAACCTTGGGAGTTGTTGCCTGCCAGCGGRACCTTGGGAAATAATGAATGGGGAGAGACAGATTCTATAAATTRTAATGTTTTGTCAGGCCACCAAATCAGATTCCAGCTCAGAGGCTTGTTGTTTACTATTGCAGTGTGTTTGGAGGTTCATCATCTGGAGGCTAAAGCCCCACAATAGCCTTCTGTTTCTCTTTTTGTTCAAAGCTCTTCTGGTGTTCAAAGAGACCTTTCATTTCTCTCGTATTAAAGTGGGACTTTTTTGAACCTCAGTTTCCTCTTCCAACAGCCGTGCTTTGTAGGCCTTGGATTGTTCAAAGAGTTCATTTCCAGTTTGGAAAAATGATTGTTTCTAAAAAGTGCATTTTATTGGGGCTGGGGTTGTGGCTCAGCAGTAGAGCACTCACCTAGCATGTGCAAGGCCCTGGTTCGAACCCCAGCACCACATAAAAATAAATAAACAAAATAAAGGTATTGTTTCCAACTACMACTAAAAAAATAAATAAATACATATTTTAATTTTTTTWAAAGTGCATTTTATTTCATTGTGCTTATCTTTAATTCTATTCTCCAGCCATGTGGACAGGCACCATAGACAAYTGGATTTGTGAAACTTGTAACTTGGTGTAAGGGAGTATTAATCRTTGAAATTTAGGGCAGGATCACAGTAATAATTCTGCTCTTCAATTACATTTCTGACTTCATATTGGCAAATAAATCTTATAGCCTCTCAATAGAGTTGAATCTTTGAAGTCTATTTTATACTAAAAATAAAGAGATGCTTGTAAATGCTCATTGACCACTTCCTTCAGGAAGCATTTCTTTTTCTTTCTTTCTTTTCTTTTTTTTTTTTTTTTTTTTTTGGTACCAAGGATTGAACCCGGGGTCACTCAACCACTGAGCCACATCTCCAGCCTATTTTTATATTTTATTTAGAGACAGGGTCTCACTGAGTTGCTTAGTACCTCATTGTTGCTTTGAACTCTATCCTACTGCCTCAGCCTCCTGAGTCGCTGGATTTACGCGGGTGCCACTGCCCCAGCTATGAAAGCATTTCTTGATGGTACTGCCCTATGTGCTCACCATCACATCATCATTTTATTCAGTGATTACTGCTTTTCTTTTCCACCAGGCTGTAAGAGGGACAATTCTTGTTCACTTTGGACTCCCAGCCCCTGGTATGTAGATAGGATTTCACATGTGAGTTTTTTCTTTTTAATGAATAAATAAATGAGTTGCAACCTTACTTGCCTATTCCTGTTTGTGTAAATTGTTAACATAGAAGTTAGTACTTTAGCCAGGCGTTGAAAAATTTTTTTCCCCCCATTTTTATTGCAGTGTTTTTCTTTAAAAGACAAAATAATTTAGGGTAGAAAATGGCAGTTCTTGTAATTATGACTGAACACAAAAGACAATGACTCACAGGAGACCCATAGAGGCAGATGTTGTAGAGTTAAAAAAAAAAAAAAGTAGCATTGTCTTGCGTAATTTTTGACTATTCTGTGTTCTTGTCATTTTAGCTATAAAGTTTGAGACTAAGAAATGTTGCATCAGCTCTCAACTTTATTGAGAAAATCATATGCTGATGCAAACTTTTTGGACTATTAATGTCTTATGAGTAAGTTCCTTCAAAATAAGAACAGTTGGAAATTATTGGGAAAGAAGCAGTAGTTAAAAGTGGTATGCAAAAGAGAAAAGCAATGCTTTCTGGAAAGAATGAAAATGGCTTTCCACCTTGTTAGCTGAAGGGAGATATGTCTCAAAGGTCAGAGGTCTAACTTCTCTTTCAAATACTGAGTCTCTAGGAAGTTGCTCCTTGGCCATAGATAGAAATACATGAGGGAATATATAGTAGTGAACATCCTTTGGGTTGAGAGAGGCAAGACCTTAGTACAGGTCTGGGATGCTGGGATGATACTTGCTAGTCATGTGACATTGGTTGGACAAATCACTGAAAAAAAAAAATTTTTTTTTTTGTACCTGAGATTGAATTCCAGGGGTTCTTGACCACTGAGACACATCCCTAGTTATTTTTATTTTTTATTTTGAAACAGAGTCTCCCTAAGTTGCTTAGGGCTTCACTAAGTTGCTGAGGCTGGCTTTGAACTTGTGATCCTCCTGTCTAGACCTCYAGAATGGCAGGGATGACAGGCGAGTGCCACCGCATCCGACTCACTGAAACATTTTTGGTGGTTTGTTTTGTCATGAGAGCAATACATAGCTGCTCTGACTATGGTGGGAAGATCAARTGAAATAATCTTCTTGAAGTATTTGTAAGGTGCCTTCCTCCCTTTTTTCATCTCTTCATTCTCTGATAATGTATGTGCAAAGAGTTAAACACTTTAGAGTACATTATTCCAAGTAAGCTCCTTTCTGGCCATAGTTCCTTTCATCTCGCAATCTTGTTTTGCCTTAGGAAACAATTTCTAACTGAAAATTTTAGAGCACATCTGATGTAGGATTTATGAACTTGGGAGGGAAAAATTCTCTGGGGAAAATACAGACACCAGAAGGATGAAGGGAACACAAGGTCACCACCAGAAAAAGCACATTGGGTTGAGCAACTGACCAAGTGCGTGTTGATAGGTGATTCAGTGCCTGAATGATTTTATTTTCTTTTTTATGGCGCACAATGAATTTAGCTATAAGAAATAGACTAGGCTTCTTCTGCAAGAAAATGAAGCTTCCATAAAACCAGAAAGGCCAGTGTTTGGGGACAGGATGCTTTCAGTCTGGAGTCAGAAGAAGGGGGAAGGTTTTCTAAAAAAAGGAATTCTGTTTAAAAGCTATACGGRTGAGTTAGGAGAAAGTTTGGGAGAAATAAGAGAAGACAAGGGAAATAAGAATTCTTAGCTACATGAAAGGGAAAACTTAAGTCAATAGCCTCAAAAAATGCTAACCTCACTGAAATAGAAACCAAAGGAAACTGACAGTTCTGGAGAGGATTGTTATCAAATGTGCAGATCGGCTTTTTGCTGGTTGGCACTCCACAGTGTGGATAGCTTTTCATCTCAGTTTTCTTCTCTTTAAATATTCTTCTGTGAGGTTCATCTGGATCAGGGCCCATTTACTCTGCATTGGGTGCATTTTGTTCTTGAGAAACAAAAGATAATTTTAGGGATATTTGRGGCATAACAGAACATTTTTTAAATCCGTGGAAAAGATAATATTACACGTTAAAAATCTTTATGAAATGGATCTGTCCTTGAACTTTTGATTTTTGTGAAACTAYTTCTGCATGGTTTATTTATGCAACAACATTCATTCAACAGAGAGAATCAGCCTGTGAAATAGACCTGCTCTCATGGAGTTTTTGTTCTATCAGATTTGGAGGTCTTTTTTTTTTTTTTTTCTTTTTTTGGTACCAGGGATTGAACTCAGGGCCACTCAACCACTGAGCCACATCCCCAGTCCTATTTTCTATTTTATTTAGAACAGGTCTCACTGTTTAGTGCCTTGCCTTTTGCTGAGGCTGGCTTTGAACTCAACGATCCTCCTGTCTCAGCCTCCCAAGCTGTTGGGATTATAGGCCTGTGCCACTGGCGAGATTTGGAGGTCTTTTGTTTTCCAAGGTGTATACAAGTCAACCAGGATCTTTGCCTGTCATAACACAGGTGGATTTGGAGTTCTTTTTATGACTTGTTTTTTTGCGGTTTGGCTTCTTAATTGATGACCCTTCTTTGAAATTGTCTTTTAAGCTTTATTCATATAGCACCAAAATACCTATTTGAAAATGATGCCAAATTAAATGGAATCATTGTCTTCAGAGCCTGAAATATTAGGATAATCCAAAACTCAGTATCAGAATCTATCTGGGCTTCCTTTTGGGATGCTGTTGGGCAGTACCTTTAGAATTCCTTATTATACTGAACAATTTAGATTTTTTTTTTCTTTGAAGATGATTGCATAGACTATTGCAGACTATATGGCAGCTAACTTGGCAACACTTCTACACATTATTCTAAATAGCAGTTATTTTCTGGGACTCTAATCACTCATACTGGTTATGTATTTTGGCCTAGTTGTCCTAGAAACCTTAATGAATGCAGTCAGAAAGCCCTAGTTTAAAACTTTTAGAGACTGGTAATTAGTTCATTTAGAGATCATAAGTAATTGCTTTCTTTTGAAGAAGTCAGTGTTTTGCCGCCTGATTTAGGGGCTGGTGATACTCAGTCCTCATATATCATCTCTTTTGAAGATTATCCCATGAGAAAGTTT